ATTATTATTATTATTATTATTATTATTATTATTATTATTATTATTATTGTTGTTGAATGACTGAAATATGTAAAATACTAATAAAATGAGGCAGGCATGTGCTATTAGATTCAAATGCATCTCATGCAAACATCATTTAAGCATTGTTGAAGGCGTTTATTAAATGACTGAAACGTCTGAAATTTTAACACCAACATTTATAAGTCAGAGACAAACATTTTTTGTTAATATATATTAAACCTGACTACAATATTCTCAAACATTTAAATTAATTTTCTCTCTCTCTCTCTCTCTCTCTATTTATTTATTTAGTAAAAATACACAGGTGATTATTGAAAATCTTGCATGCTGATTGGTTGAGAAACTCACACCATCACAGGATAATCACCTCCAGCGATATTCCAAAATGGCGGCAAGCCGCTTTGTTGTTGTTACCAGAAAAAATTTCTTTTATCTTCTATTTTTCCCTTCCTTTTAAAGAATCACCTGCGTATTTATGCTAAAACAATATTATTTGCCTCAGCCTCAGTGAATATCGGGGAATATTTACCTCTCCACTCGAAGACTCATGTCTCGGTAAATATTCCCCAATATTCACTTTGCCTTCGGCGAATAATTGATAAATATATATACATTCAGATATACTTTTATCAACTTAAATTTAAAATATTATGATATACGAATGAGGAACATTTTAAAGAGCTCTTATGGTAACTGTTAAAATTTCAAAGTCAAATGGGTGAAAAAATAATTGAAAAATGAAAATAAACATCTCTTGTACAAATGTTTACAGAAGAGTAACCAAATTATATCTATTTTGTGGGATAATACTAACTCACCTAAAAGTTTTCTAGCCAGTGCAGATTAACGTAGTCGCAGTGTTATGCATAGATAGATATAACGAGTCTATAAAACTGTAGGTCTTGAGAATTCCATTGATTTAATCTCACTGAATATATTACCTATATAAAATTAATTTGTTTGCAAGTTCATTTTATGTAGGTTCATCGATGTTTTAGTTTGGTCAGAATGCTTCAGACATCAACGCAAAAACATCTGCCCAGGAAACGCAAGACAAAGATTTGCATACACTTAAAATGTCACCCAGACAAGATTTAATGTATTCTATACTACACTTAATTTTATGAACTTTATGTCTATAATTTAAATATATTATTAATGCCAATAAATATTTATTAAGATAATCAGAAATATTCAGCACTATTATTTATAATTATGGCATAAATATCAAATATTAAAATATATATTAATAGGAGACATTTGAAGTTATCCCTATCAAGAAATCCTTTAATATACAACAGTTATATAGTTACTATAGTTACTATAGTAACTTGATGAGTGGATTCAGGAACAAATCTAAATTTTGTGTACACCTGTACTTTATCAAGTCCAACGTCAACTTGGAAGTATTATTTCATGCTAATTCATGATACAGGAAAAGTCTATTTGATTAGAAAATCTCCACTGAATAATCTTAGATCATAAAAATTTAAATTCAGAAAATTTGACTAAACATTCCTGTAATGCACTTTAATCAACTTATTATATGCACAACCAGGGTGAACACAAGATATTTACCCTCTAGATTAACATTAAGGATTCAGTTTGTGTGTTACTTTTACATTTCTGCAATATGAATGCATGAATATTTACATCGTTATCTTTCCTTATCTATCGCCTGACATAGTGGGGGTGACTTCATATGGGGATTTAGTTCCTCACTGTCAACACCCTTTTTGCATTTTTTCGTCATCTTTTTCCCAGTAAAGTTATGAATAAATATTGAAAACAATACATGTGTTCTAATAAATATATGCTACTGTATACTGTATAATAAAAAGGTATGATTAATAGTGCTCGATGCAGTGTCTTGTGCGCCGGTCAGCAGCCACGTCAGTTTGTGCATGTAATGCATTGGCGCCTTGTTGTTGAAATAAAGGATTTAAAGTGGACGTATGAAATTGTGTGGTTTCCTTAGATGAGTATTACTACACTAGATAATTTTATTTAACCTGTTCCCATACTGATAGCAACATCATGGAGTAGGTTTAGCCTCACATTATTACTGTAGTTCTAATTTTTTTAACACACCAACAAAAGAAAACTTATACTTATTATAAGCTATCAATAAAAACATGTGAAAACGATGAGCAACCATGTTGCCTTTATGCCAAGTACATTGTTTAATTAGTAACTACTGTAAATGTCATCCGTATATTTACAGAAAACTAAAATGAAGCAAAAAATATATGTTAAGTATAATAATAAGTTCCTCAGTTGAAATACCACTGATCATTGATTAATAATTTATTAATTTATTATCCCTAATAATTATTATATTGCAGTTGGAAGTATTATGATACATACTGTAAGAAGTATTTAAAACATGTCAATGTGGTATAGCCAATATTTTGATATACCATTGACTAATTAGTGTTTACACTCTACAAAATTAATTTCAACCTCCGACATACATGTATCAACTACAATTGTTCACCCTCATATAGTTGGAAGTGGAATGGATATTATTAAAGTTGACAATTTCTTAATAATAATACTCGACTTTATGTAGAAAGGGTGACATGTGACAATATCAACTTACAAGAAAAATGCGAGTCCTATAATGTTTCATGTCTTTGAATGAAATGGGACATCCAGTCATGATCATGATGTTTGGAATTTGGCATTCACTGGAGTTTAAGGGTGCAATTACATGGAATAATTTTCTTTGCAGCTTGTCTCACAACAGCATTATAACACAGGTTGCATGGATCATTGCAGAGCATTGCATGTAATGTGTAAAGCACAATTTGAATATCATAATTTTGCTAGTTGCAGCAATTGATGCAAAATGTAGAATTTATTTTTACTTTTGGCAACTACTGAATCTCCATAGACCTAATCGGCTAGCGTGTTGCTATGTACGTTACAGTACCACCCAATTCAAACCTTCTGGGAATAGAAGCGTTTGTCTCTACGAATTCAACTGTGAAACCAAAATATAACAAACAATGAAACTTAGTCCCATGTGGTTTGAATTGGGTGGAAACGTTTATAGCAACACATTAGCCGATTAGGTCTATTGCACCTTCTTGCAACTAGTGTCACAGTGCTGTTACCTTGGTGTAACAACCTTCATTGTTTCCATTCTATTGTTGTGCTTTGTTTAGTTTCAATACATCAAGTTTGTTTCGAGGAATTGTGATGTTATTCACAGGTTCTTACCCCCGGGTTAGGCCAGAAAAAACTCGTTCACATGTAGGTGATGTTATATCATACCAGCAGCAGATGGAGAGTGCGTATATATACATGTGACCAAAAATGTGATACACATTGCCAGAATATACATACAAGTACTGTAAACAAGACTGTGTTTACAATAAAAAACACAAAAAAACCTGGCCAAGAAATATATTGATTTGTAAGACATGTTTACAAAAGTAAAATCGCTCAATGCCAATATATTTTAGTGAAAGCAAGATTTCCATACAAAATATTAGAACTTCCAATGGAATGATGAATAATTCATTAAGTAAAAAACTCGTGATAGTCAAAATTATACAACCTTAAAGCTGTAAATAAGTGTGAGAACTTTGAGAATAATAATTCTAATAGAGGGGAAAAATCCTAAAAATTATACAAATAAGAATTTAATTAATTAATTTTATGAATTAAAGGAATGAGTTAAGCTTACATAAGCTTAAAATCCAATGGTTATGGCGTTGAAGGTATAAACATTTCAAAGTGTTGAAAACACAATTAAGCTTACAATACAAAATTATTTTAAACAATGAATAAAAAAACGAGATTCTGGACTACTTACTGAAGTATTTGAGTGTTTCTTGTAGTTGCTCTGGAGTTAAATCTAAAGCCATACACTCCGAAGCAAAAGCAGACAGCCATTCTCCATCCCCACTTGAACTTTCTACTCCGCTTTCTGTCTCTAGGTACTCTTGTTCCGACACAGATAACGAACCATCATTGAGACTAGAATCTCTAGATTCATCTTTGAATATTGTTCCATCACTTAAAAAAAGGTCTGAGTCTCTGAGTTGTGTTTCTTCCTCGTAGGATTCGAAAGTTTCYGAGTCGCCATCTTGGACTTCGAAATGCTCAGAGCTCGGGCTTTTTGTGAGCGCCAGAGTTGTTTTTTATGAGTTTTGGACTCCAAAACAAGACGTAAAAGGTCCAAATATAAACTAATCCAAACAGCTGCCGTGTTTTCGTAGAGTTTCGGTCCAAATAAAACTCCAAAATTTGAAGAATATTTGAGGATACAACCTTCTGTTTTGGCCAGAGCTCGAGTCTTCGAATTATACGATCAAATATTCTTAAAGTACGCCCTAGAGTAATTATACTTTTAACCCAAAACTTAAATCTATAACATTGGGCATTATATTCGTTAAGTTTCTGGAGAAAGAGAATAAACTGTATAATTTCTAGAGACGTAAATAAAACTACTTGTGACCCTACTCACGACACGAACCGGTTTACTGAATCCGAAGGGATATCGATTGGCTGAATAATTTAAAAGATCGGACGATCAAAGTCCGAAGGTCCGAATGAATTCTCGACTTTCCGATTAAAATTTTACTTGCTCATGGCCTGTTTGATTATTATTTGCCAATTGTTCTCCAAAAGCTTTAAATTTTGAACTCTTTTATCTTCTCAAAAACTGTCTTAAAATTGAAAATATTTTCCATTGTTTTTTGACACGGTCACGCTGTTTTTTCTGCCATAAATCAGTGCTTCATTCCTTTACGAGGAAGTCACTTCCATCATTTCAAAAAAAATGAATAATGGCTATGGCAAATTGACTCGTTGGCCGTGACACAAAGAAATTAATGGCGGACGAAAATAAATCGTAAAATTTTGGCCCTTCCCTTTCGAATATTAGAAAGATATTTCAGTGAGAGGTTCTWAATGTGTTCAAGATTATTTCAGCAAAGTTCCAGCTCGAATGAAAGAGTTTTAATTTTGGAACAATTTTCGTCCAAGTGGCCCTTTAAATAACTCAGATAAGAGGAAAACGTGCATATGTGGTTTATCTTAGCAATAAAAATACTCTGTCTCGTCTTTACCGTACTCCTTCCCCTTAGTAGCAATTTTCAGTTCAACTATATATGGTTAGCCTGTGAAACGACCACTACCGACCATTACCGACCATATAAGTCCAAAAAACCCGAATTTTAATTTATGCTAATAATTCTAAGGCCCCGTCCACACGTATTTTTTTTCGGAAACGAAAACGTTCGCATTCACACGCAGCGTATTCGAATCGTTTTCGAATCGTTTCACTGCTGTCCACACTGATCCGCCCTGATGCACGCTAGTGCCTAGTCACTTTGACAGATAGTTTTTCTTATTGAGCATGCTCAAAATCGTGTTTATGTCATCGTATTCGAAAATTTGTGGATACGACCGTCCACACGTATCCGTATTCGCAGCGCATTCGAAAATTTCCACTCTGCAGACCGTTTTCGAAAATTTCCGGATACGAATACAAAAATTTCCGGACACGTGTGGACGCAACCCGTATCCGCAAAAAAAATTGCGGATACAAAAATTTCCGGATACGTGTGGACGGGGCCTAAATTATTGCATGTTTTATTAGTTATATTATCGTATACGAAAATGTGCAAAGAAATTTATACGGTGGGTGGTAAGATGTTCCGCGGTTCGTGAAATTTGTCAATCTCAATATACCCAGAGCCTTAATATTTCTTACTGAGCATGTTCGACGAAACAAAATGGGCTCCAATCTCATACCCATAGCCTTTATTTCTTACTGCGCATACTCGTCGAAGAGCATGCGCAGTAAGAAATAAAGGATCTGGGTACGAGATTGGAAATTTGTTGGCCAGATTTGCTCTATGAGTGCGCATGCACAACCAAGACGGACAATGGTCACCGTAAAGGTCGAGTGGTTTGGAGCTACGCCTATAAAAATCGACAGATCATTTTAATGATATTATTAAACCAAACACRATTTAATATAAGAGGACAGCATTTCCGATGGCTAAGTTTCAATGGAAGAAAAACAATGATTTCAATATCAACTTACTTTTGATATAAGGATATTACAGTCACAGATTAAAGATAATCTTTCTTTTGAATTAGATTGAATAGATTTTTATTCTCTATTTTCTGGAAAACCAAGAACCAGACGAAAATTTAGCCAAGTCCAGTCAAGCGAGGTGCTCAAAAGTCGTGCGACTTGTCATGATCAAATTAAAATTCTTGAAGCCTGATATGCTTAGGACTGTCCTATTATGTATTAGGCGAAGCTCTTAAGTGGGTATGGGTGAGAAGAAGGGGGCCTTGAAAGTTTAGTGACCCTTCGAAAAATGAAGTTTTAAAATACTAGTAATTGATGCCAGTAATATATAGGAGAGCCTTCAAAATGTTGAAAATAAACCGTTCAAATATGAAATCCAACTATTTTATCGTTTCCTTCCACTGAGAACTCTACTTTTCGAATCTTTTAGTGCGGTTTTATTACTGACTCAGATCTAGTGCGGTTCTATATATTATTTTATATCGATTCCTAATTCGCCAAATGGGATCAGGCATACTAAAATTACTAGTCGYCCAGATTAAAGATAATTTTATAGTTGAAAATCTCTCTATTGAATTAGCAGAAATTTGTATTTTCTGGGACCGAAAAACCAAAGCAAAAGTTGTTCAAGCGAGGTGACCAAGAGTCGTGCGATTTGTCATGATCAAGTATTAAGGATCACCAGTCGCTAGGTCCAACTTTAAAATAAGAATTCTACTAACTATGTTTAAGTATGAAATCTAGCTACATTAATGAATGCCTCTACTTTTTATAATCTTAAATGTCTTGTTGGGAACAATCGATGATGGAAACTTTTTTTAGATATCGGTTTCTGATTGGCCAGCTGGAAACAGCCTGATAATGAGTAAGTGAATCCATGATAAAAATACCCAGAACCCAATATATTGACTACTTCAGTTAATGTAAAATAATCTTTGCTTTGTATAAAGTTCGGTACTCCTAAACATTGTAAAAATGGCTTCAAAGGTTTCCGCTACAATTTTAAGAGGCACAAAACAGATGCTTGAATGATGTCCAGCTGTTTGTAGCATGGCTTTGCTTAGAATCCTTTTTTGCATAAGCCACGAGTTAAAAAATACCTGGACAGGCTATCAAAATATCACGTCTCAATTACTCTCTAAACCAAACAACAAAGAAGCTATAGGGTGTCTATTCTTATTATTGTATGAAGGCTTAACGTCATTTGTTATCAAACCACTTACTTGATTTATTAAAATCTAAAAAACGTCACTGAAACTCACTTTGTTACGGATAAATATTTAACTTTTCAATTGCTTTTTTTTCCTCTTTAAGAGACATAGACGGTCATACAGTACGTATTAATGCAAGAATTGCAAATATAAACGACCTCGTGATGATAGCAGACATTCTGTCTATTAAAACGTGACTTTTACAAACTTTATTGTCAGTTTTATCAACAAAGTTTTCGTAGGTTAAAAGTTGATTGATATGTTTTCTGTGTTGAGCTTGGCAGAAACGTTGAACGGTTGCTACGAAAGATTTTATCAGTGAAATCACTTCAATACTTACATAGAAACCATATGATAAAAACAGGCTCCTTTCCTTTTATTCGAGGAATTATCGCAAAATTTAGTTCCAAAAAAGGCAGTTTACTATATAACCAAGCTTATGTCARAGAAAAGTTCAGTAATTTCACTAAGCTAAAGCATAACATTAGGAATGTCCAGGGCACCGCAAGCATGTAAACTGAGAAACGGCTTTTTTTTAGTAGCTTGTCATGTGAAGGTCGGACTTGAAAGTAGCAGTCGTCTCAGAGAGCAAGATGCCACTATGCCGTACTGTTACTAAACACATATATAATGCAATCCGTCTGTCCTAGCGCCCTTGGTTGCATATCAAAGCAGCAGGCAAATATTTAATGAGAAGACAAAACTAAATATTATTCAATTCGCAATACAGGAATGCTCTGAGCACACGTCAAAGCAAACAAAAATTATTTTACAGTAACTGAGAACGCTTACGTTTTGCACTAAGGTGGCTTTTAACAAAGAATACTGACTAAACTGGAATAAGAGATCCAAATTCTCGAATTTCCACCAATATATTAACTTCAAAAAAGGATATTTTGGATTTTTTAAATCTCCTTACCTGCAAATGTTTAATAATATCATGTTCTTGTAGCAGTTTGGTAGTATGTGAAAACAATACTTGACGATGCATGGTATTTAAAGACATACAGTCTCTTCTTATGAGTTTAAGGAAATTGTATTGAACATATGTACATCTTAGTTTTGACATCTTTAAGTTTGGAAAGCGTGACAAAAGCAATAATGACTTAAAAATATATACAAAAGTTAGTAGAATTATTGTAAGTGTTTTGAAATGAAACAAAATCATCTTCTAATCATAATATATCCTAATCTAGTTACATTTAATATGATATGGTATTTGGTTTTCTTATTTTACTTATAATATAAGATAATAAACATAATAACCTATATATTTTGATCAAGTAATATGACGAACTCAAAATATGGTCCCAAAATACTTTACATTTGTCAAAATAACTTCAAAGTATGTTCAAAGTGACTTACTTCTAGTGATAGCTGCTTGTATACCGTCCGGAAGGCATCCAAATATCTTTTCCTCGACAACGAGTTCTGAAGGCGAACTTGGAAAGTCTTCATCTTCTTCTTCTGAGATGCTAGACATTCTACAGAGGTTGTTTTGAAGACAATATCTGCACATAGCACGATTGATCTTCTTTCACTCTGAACAGTCAAAGGAAAAAACCTTCAAGATGCCTCCGAAATCTACAATCGCCAACTTTAGCCAAAAGTTAGCAAAAGAGTTCCCAAATATCCCGTTTCGAAGACGATTCAAAGTGTTTGATTGTAACGCACTGACAGAAATTAATTTATTTCCAGGCACGTATTGATCTCGTCTGTCGATGAAGCGTCGTCTGCCGGATACAAGTTTGTTTTCCTATTATATCAAGCAGAAAGTTTATATGACCTTATGGACGCATGCGCAGAAATAGTTTTCCGGTTCTGGTCGATCCGGAGCCCGTAAGGTTCAAAAGCCAATGTCATTATATTTTTTCATCACTTTTCTAATTACAAAATTATGAGGGAAATTTAGTTATCTAATGATCACGTATCTAGGTAAAAATAAAGGTAATATTCGTACAAAATCAGGCCAAAAAACTTAGGTTTAAAGATTGATTATTTTCTAATCGCTTTACCTCAGAGTTTATTTTTGGTTCCCGTGCTTCCGAGGGATTTTCTCCGGGTTCTCTGCCCCCCCTCCCTCCACAAAAATGAACTCCTGAATTCCAATTAGTGATCCTGTGGAAGAAGAGCCACTCTGTGGAACTACCGTTAATTCCTTTTATCAGCCCGTTGTCAAGTTTAGATTGGATGCACAAGCAAAATAACTTCGTACAATCACACAAATATATTCATATTTAATACAATATATAATATTTATTACAATTATGTTTGTAAGACTAATATAAAGTTTGAAGTTCACGACAGCAAACACTAGCGTAAGCGCTAAAGTTTAAATTTTAAATGGGAAGACGGCTTAATTTTTCGCGCATTGGATTGAAGTAAGGAGCAATAGATTTTTTATGTTAGAAAACGCGTTGACTCTATCTGATATGAAGAAAAACTGGTGGGCGGTAAAAACGTGCAGTGTAAGATCAACGTGCGCATCGTCCAATTAATCGATCGTCCAATAGTAATATTGAGGTCTCGATATACGAAGCGCGCGCTTCGCTAGGTTCGATAGTGAAATCAAACGCCAAATTGATTTCTTTTTCCTTATCATCATTCATTAAAAATTTCATTATTCAAAGCCTCAATAGAGTACTGGCTTCAATAGCTAAAGAAGTTAGGCTGTCATGAAATTACAAATTACCTAAAATTTCCACCCATATTCACAGTAAAACAAACATTTATAACGAACGGACACAAGACAAGGTCCCGAAGGTGTCCGTTTATACATTCCACTGTATTTAGTTTCCAATTTACAGTGTTCCGTTCAACTAAATAGTTCAATAATATTTATATTTTTAGATAATTGTCAATGAGTGACTTTTCTCTGCGAGAAGAATTAATGCTCGTATTTAGTCTCCCTTTCTTTGGCTGCGGAAAGAAAGGATAAAACCAGACTAATTGATCCAAATCGACTCTCCAAGCAGAAAAGTTATACTTCTATTGCGCTCTTTCCTATGTTTATAAGCTTCACGAACTAAAAACATGAGGATAAATGCATTCCAAAGTGAACTAAACCTGGTGTTTTGTACTGGYATTTGGTGTAAAACGGGAGAACGTGTGTTGGTGCACGATTCTAATCAGCCTACTCTTACCAAGAAGCAAATGCAGGTCTTCAACGACAAGGTCACCGGAAATAGTCAAAACCATCGCTTCCTGACTGATTTGGACTACTTATTGACCATTAATTTTTATCGGAGGTCTTATCGAAGATTTGTTAGGATTTTAGAAATCGGATGACGCAGTGACGCTATAGGATATCCCTAAGAGTTTCAAGAGGATAGTCCTAGGGCGAAAAATCAGTTACGCAGTAAAACCCGCGCCATCCGAGTCAAAAAGTGCCAATTTTCGAAGTACAAATTTTAGATCGCATTACACAGGTGCTTGCAGCTAGCCAGAGTTGAACAGCTTTGTTCATTAAACGAACAGCTAATGCACTAGCTGTCGCGAGATTTCCTTCCCATATTTTCTGTAAGACAAGCCTCTATTCAACGGACACCCTTCATTAAACGGACAGCTAGTTGCACGGCCGCGAGATTTTCTTCCCATATTTACTGTAAGACAAACCTCTATTCATCGGACACGCTTCATTAAACGGACAGCTACTGTGTTGCATGGTTCTGAGATTTCTCTTCCCATATCTACAGTAACCTACCTCTATTAATTAAGCGGACACCTTCGGTAATATAATATAACTGAACACCAGGCAAGGCACCGAATGTGTCCGCTCAATACAGGTACGTACTCACTGTAGTTTTAAGCTGTAAGCGAAGCTGAATCAACAATGACTCSGGGATCGCAAGCGACCGTTCAAAAGGAAAATGGCGTATGCGTGTGGAAAAAGAGCTTGTATATATAATGTATATACTTATTTCAATAGAGTTAGTCACCTGAAAAGCCGCATAACTGAGACCGACAAGGATTATGGGTAGATACATTTTACATGTTTCAACCGCTTGATAACTGTTGATGGACTTGAGATCTTCTACCAGTTACAAGTTAACCTCCTCTGAGTATCCTCAACTGCTGCAGTTTGTGTCAAAAGCTTACTCGTTGGATATAAAACATTTCCCCATGATTCTCATTATCACAGCTTTCTAGGTTTTTGGTGACTAACTTTATTGAAATAAGTATATATTGTGTTTATAATGTTCAAGCTGAGCTTAAATAACCCTAAACACCAGGGCCTGGTTGTACGGAGGGTGGATAGCGCTATCCGACGGAAAAATTCTTATCCAGTGGATAAGTCGATGCTATTATCCAATACATGTATACACTGGATAAGTATCCGTACAACCAGGTCCTGGTCTTTAAAAATGACATGTCCTTGAATGAAGAAATAGCAAGCGACTCCTTGTATACCAGATATTCCTCAGCCAAGGTTCCTTCATCAGAGAAAGTCGAAGAATCTGGGCACTAGTCATATGCTTTGTAATCCAGTTGTGGTCCTGTTTGTGTTTGTGATCCATTTAGTGTTGGAGCTAGGTTTCACTGAGTTCACTCTTTAAAGAAAATAGAGGAAGTTTGGTAGCCAACTAGCAACCAACTTGCATTTTTCAAATCCAAGGGTTTTTAAGAGCACCTCTCCTTTCGGTATAGCGGTTGCTGATCGTAGAACTCGCAATTGACACTTCTTCAATTTCATTAATATATTTTATATTAGACTTGGTCTTTGTAGTTAAATTATAGAAAGGTTTTACTCGTTTTTCTTCGGGCAAGGGTGCGGAGTTGTTTGTCTTTTCGATGGTCGTTTCAAGTGTCGTTTTGGTCAGCGGTTTAACGCGTGACGATTGCCTTCGAATTTTGCATTTGAATAATTTTAACACAATTCGACGAAATCTAAAATAAAATAAGATGAAAATAAATTAATTTACTTCTTAACGTGCAAGCCGAGTAATAATTTTAATTTCCTCCTCGGATTTGAGTAAGTTAAACATAAAACTTGAGAACAATCATATTGTTGTACTCTTTTTAAACTGATGTAAAGGTTTCGGAAGTTTTGCCGATAGAGTTTTTTAAAGCGACGTTTCTTGTTCTCGAGAAAACGTATCACGGATAACAGGGTAAAAAAAGGTAATTAGGCGCTGATATGGCTTAATTTTGGCATTCTAATTCCTGTGATCGCCTCATTTCGATCAACAACTCAACTTGGGCTCCTTGTGGGTTTAACAATTTACCTCTTAGGGACTGGTCATAAAGTATGGCAAAATCAGAATAGAATCAGTGTTTTTGGCCCATCATAAAATGATGCTGAAAATGTGATGACCCAACCCCAGTTTAGAAGCAAAATTGCAGGTGACCCAACCCAGAAAAARAAATCTAAATCCCAAAAGAATTCTCTTGGTTGCACACGTCTACCACTTATTGTAACATTGACTGTTTCGACTTCGTCTTTCTCTGCGTTTTCCTAACTATCAGTAATCCCTATTTCATGAGTAGCAATGTCAGTTTCTTCGTYGCTATCCAAATCCATTATCCTCATCAGTGTCCTCACATRAATTATCATCATCTTCAGTGTCCTCGCGTGAAGTACCATATTCTTCTAACTCTTCCTCTGTTGTACTTGTCGTAGTATTTAAAAGCTGCATAGACAGCCAAGCATTTATTACTTGGACATTCTCACTTTTGTACATTTTGAGCTTGAGCAAGTTGTGCTTTTTTAAAAAGAGGCCCAAGACTGCAACCCTCTGCTTCTTAAGCATTCCGCTTTCTTGTGTGTCTTTCCAGTCATATTCTTCGTATGCTTTAAGTTTCTCTGCTTCCTTATTTTTTTCTTCTCATTTGCCCTTTTAATTTTTTTTTATTTGAAGGTACTACAGATGTTGTACATACTTCCTAACCAGATCCTCTGCAACTGCAAATTTCCTTGAGAAATTCTGATGATGACAATTATAATACTACTCTATTTTGTAATGGCCCACCCTTTTTAGTTGTCAAATTTTATCAACAGCCCACTTCTTTGAAGGAGTTCAAAATTATGTGACCCACCCCCTGATTTTGCCCCCCCCCCCTCCCCATACTTTATGACCATTTCCTTAATGGAGAAAAATATAGGCCCTTGTTTGCTCATAAAATTAGAATTGATCGCCTAAAAGCTATTCATCCGCAATCAGGGCTACAAATGATGAAAACTAAGTAAAAACACTCAAGTTATTTAATGACACGTAATAAAGAAAATAGAGGATATAACATAGCTGCACGGAGATTGAGCTTTTATCTTCGAGTGTTGAGGTGATATTTTACGAGTGAGCGCAGCAAACTAGTACAACATCCTCAACACGAGAAGATAAAATTTGTATTTCCAAGCGGCGGCCAGGTAATATTCTGTTTATATATAATTATCGATGAAATCTGATTGGATTAAACAGAATAATATATGGCTATTTGATGGAGGAGTTTATCTTCTGTGATTCCATATATACATATTATTCGCTTGCTGCGCTCACACACAAGTAAAATCAAAGATAAAACCCTTATTTCCGAGCGTACATGGAATTTCCTCTACATCCGTAAAGAACGGCCAAGAGTTAAAAAAAAACGACGGGCGTACCTTCCCGAAGATAATCAAAAATACACAGTTTTTGATGAAGCCCTTTGTACTAATTCTCAAGTACACTGTAGTCAAAAAATACATATATACAATACTCAATCCTCTTCTTATGAGGACTGAAATCTCTTTAGATATTAATGTGTACGGATTTTGTCAAGGGGTTAATTCAAAAAACATGCTAGAAAATCAAGAAATAACACTTAATTGCAAAAGTACAAAACATTTTTTTTGTATTTTTTTGTCTTTTTTCCCTGATTATTTTTGCGCAGAAATCTCCAAGAAATTCTATCCTTTTCAGTCGAGGTACGAATAGCTGCTACCTGCACAGTAGTGTAGGTATCTTTATTATAAGAATCAATAAATATCAATAATTGGATGTTTGGATTAGCTCATGTCGAGGTAACATATCTAATATCCGAGGTCGCCCACTCACAAATACTTATTAACCCTGATATATTGGATACAACGGTTTTCATATGATCAACACGGAACATCATGCCGTTATGGACCTTTATCACACGGCGCCAGGTTTATTCCCATGAGAATAAAAACCTTTGTTTCACCCCGTGTAACTTCGTCCTGAAACGCTTAGAAGCGAGGTCACGCGGGGGAAATTCATTGTTCCAACCAACATGGTCCTCTCGTTTTCGTGTGAATCATCAAATCATAACACCTAGTTACAGCTACAGCGCGGCTATACGAATTAGACGAAAATCGCTGAAAGGAAGGAAGAAAGGAAGAAAGAAAGAAAGAAAGNAAAGAAAGAAAGAAAGAAAGAAAGAAAGAAAGAAAGAAAGAAAGAAAGAAAGAAAGAAAGAAAGAAAGAAAGAAAGAAAGAAAGAAAGAAAGGAAGGAAGAAAGAAAGAAAGAAAGAAAGAAAGGAAGGAAGGAAGGAAGCTAGGAAGGAAGAAAGAAAGAAAGAAAAGAAGAAGAAGGATCTTCTTACCTAAGGTTAAAAGTGAAATACACCACAGGACTGAAGACTGCACTGGATTTTGCAATGAGCGTAGGAAAGAGAGATATGTCCCCATCCAACAGTCTATCATTGCCGCTCAAAACGCTCACCAACACCCCAACACTATACGGAGTCCATAACAGTACATATATAAAGATGGACGCTCCTACCATCTTACTGACGTTTCCATAATCAACTATTCGTGATTTCACAGCAAAGATACTCTTTTTACATATTTCTCTGTGTCTGGAAAGAGAACGGTTAATCTTTGCTAGAAATACCATGCTGATGGCCACTGGAATGACGAAGGCTACCAGGGTTAGCGTTATGGCGTAAATGATATCACGACTGTTGGTTGGCTTCCAGTTCGGTGCGCAATTTGTTCCACCTCCTTCAAGACTCATGCTCGTCAATCCCATTGTGGGCGGAAGCATCACACCCATAGAAAACAGCCAGKTGAAGGCGATTTCTTTTTTGTAACTTCGATACTTTATGGCTATGCGATTAATATGAGATACCTTAGTAATAGCATTGCTTGTCTTTACAACTATCACGGATAGTTGACATAGCATGCATATGGCAGAGGTTCCTGCCAGGAATCCTTCAGCAACGCAGAACCATTCGCCAAAGATCCATCTGTAGTTGATCGCGGACAAGAACGTACTCGGATACGAGCAAACAAGAAAAACAAAGTTGGCCACGGCTATACTCAAGAGGTAAGGCGTCAATTCTTTTTGGCGGTTCTCGCGGTGGAACAAAGAGTAAAGATTAAGACCTTGTAGAGCGATTCCTGCCACGAAAAGCAGAAAGATCCCAACAGCGTAACAGATATAGAACGGATTGCTTGGGCTGTCCATCGTTTCCTCATCTAAAATAAAAAACACATATCATGACGACCCTTTTAACGAAACCTACGGATGTGTTCTAGATCAAAAAAACATACCAACTCTGTTTTATAAACCAAAGCATGTGCTTATTGGTTAATTGGACGCTTATTTTGCAGTTATCACASCAGGGAAACGATTCCTTAATCACGCGTATGAAAAAAGAAGGTTGTTTAAAAACAAGTGGTAGACTAAGCAATCGATATGTCTGTCGCCTCGATCCGTAAGTTAATAAGAATTGATGAAAAATAAACATTATACAGTTGAAGAGTGATTAAGTCATTATCTAATGAGAACAATTCGCCACCTCAACATTTGTTGTTTCCTTCGTTGTTTTAGAAGAAAAACTTTTCCCATTAGCTTTAAAAGCAGAATATTCTAGTTTAAAAGTTTTAAAATAGCAGACTAAAAGATATATATCAATGCGTTCGTGGCAAATACGAAACTAGAGAAAAACTTTTCAGTACGTTTTCTAAGAATTTTGAAGAGTTTGAGTGAGAAAACAAATGTTTGTTTTCTCCGAGTATACAAAATATTTCGCGAGTATACTTTTGTGAGACTAAGATACTGTATTAACAAACACAATATGAAAAAATTAGCCTTAAGTTTCAAGCATGGACACTAAGTTTTGGCATTTTGTGAAGTCCAATTTATTCGGCATGTTTGAAAGTCAAATTTACAAATGTTTCGACTAATTTACATACGGATTCAGAGCATGCGCAGACGTTTTTCACTCGTGTTGGAACTTGTAGATAAATTGGATCACGGTGAAAAGCTTTGTGAAACTGACGTTTCGGACGTTAGTCCTTCGTCGGAGTAAGTGGAAAGAAAAGATGAGAAGGGGTGAATAAATACTAAGGTGGAAAATAAAGTGACCAATGAGAAATCAGAGTATGAAAAAAAAAAAAAGGAAACAAAAGGATCGAAAAAACAATAAGCGAGAAATGGAAAGCAAAGCATGACTAATTAAAAGTGAAGCGTTCATTCATCACATGGGGACTGATGGTGCCAAATGAGTGAAAACGTAAAATATATAGGCCCCGTCCACACGTATCCGGAAATTTTTGTGTCCGTATCCGCAAATTTTACGAAAACGGATACGTGTGGACGGTGAAAACGATTCGAATACGCTGCGTGTGGACGCAAACATTTTCGTATCCGCAAAAAATAATTTGCGGATACAAAAATTTCCGGATACGTGTGGACGGGGCCTATATAGAGGCTGGTAATAGAGTGATTTTCATAAACCCGTGAAACAGATACCATTAGTTAGTGTGTAATAGTGAAATTGCAACACAAGAAAACAATGGAATTAGGGTCTACTAATTTGTATTAGGCTAGTGTGCATTTCACGGGTTCATGAAAACCACTCTAACGATAAAGTTCGTATTTCGTGAGCGCGCGGTTCCTTGACTCCTTCACCCCCCCCCCTCCCCTCCCTCTTACTTTTTGACACATCAATAATCAATTAGTGAAAAAAAGTGGTTACATTTATGGACTAAAAATCGAGGCAAACAGAACAGAAGTAGTAATAAAGAGAGGTTTGTGTTCCATCCACGCTTTTGACTTTGTCCGCTTTTAAGTTGACGTATTTCCGGGTCCAACTGCACACAAAAAATGCTAAAATAAAGCACAAAAATGTTCTTAATGATTTAACATCCACATGAAATAATTAGAACTTTGGACAACAAATCCTGTCATGAAGAAAGAGTAAGAAAAATATTTTAAAGAAATGCTTTTCGTTTTGGGCCCAGAAGTCGTTTTTCAATACCATTGGCGTCACACTTAAAAGCTACGTATTTCCTAAGATGAGCTGGAAAGCTTGGATGAACTAAGTGAAAACTAATCTTGTAACCAGGGCCTTATTTCTTACTACGCACGCGTCACTTTTAAAAACGTTTTCTCCAAAATTTGGATAGGACGAGCTGTAGAAATKTCACTACCATTTCGATAAAGCTCTGGTCTATTGATGTAGGAAGTTTGAAGAAAAAACTTGGAGCCGTTTTAAAGAAAACGGCAAAAATGTGATTTTTATCAAAACTCTCATATTTGAGGTTTAAAACCACAATTAGTAAAAAAATATTATTCGATGATGAGCTTTTAAGATTTGATGCTGATTTTTCATAAAGCTCATCCACGATACTTGAAAAATAAGTGAAAAATCCAAGGCAATCCATTCAATGTTAATGTTTCTACAGCGCGATGTTTTATATGCTTCAAATTTTGAATCGAATTTTCAAGCGGCGTCATAACTTTTTTTTTGCCCTAGATATTCCATCCAAATTTGTACATAGGCTGCATTAGTACTAGATGATAAGATTCTGAAAATTTCAGAAAAATCGTACCTCAGAAGGAGGAGAAAAAAGCTAAAAACTAAAAATAGCACTGTTTGATTTTCGGCCTTAAAAGGCTCAGTAAACTCTTTAAAAAATCTTTTTAGAAAAAAAATTTTCATTTTAAAAATTTAGTTAAATTGAAGAATTTTTTTTGCGAAGCTAACGAGAGTAAAATTGTCCAAAATTCGTCGATCTGAATTAGTTTGGTTCCACCGCGGCTCATCGTGAGATGAATGTAATATTGACTACTTTTTCAATATCATAGTTACGAATACAAAATAACAAAGAAACGAAGAGTTCCCGCTAGCACACAAAACAAAGGTTGGGAAAAACTGTGGATTGGATTAGAACAATGCCAAATGAACGAATAGAAATCGTTAAATAAACAAATGGCTGAATGAACGAATTAATAAATATATAAATAAAGATGATATGATAATAAATTAATTGAAATGACGAACGAACGAGTCAACGAAACAAACGATTGAATGACAGAATAAATCATAAACAACCCTATTTACTTACCAATACTGTAGAGCCAAAATGAACAGAAAAAGGGGAACTGCCGATAAACGTCGCCAAACGCTAACTGACGCGTGTGACGTGAACGTGGTAAAAGACAGCGTAAAAACATTTTCGTTTCTTGGACACGAGTGAAAAACGTCTGCGCATGCTCTGAATCCTTATGCAAATTAGTCAAAACAATTGAAAATTTGACTTTCAAACATGCCTGATAAATCGGACTTCACAAAATGCCAAAACTTAGTGTCCATGCTTGAAACTTAAGGCTAATTTTTTTCATATTGTGTTATTTGATATAGTAACGTGGCCTGACAAAAGTATACTCTCGAGCTTTTTTGTATACTTGGAGAAAACAAACATTTAATTTCGCACTCGAACCGTTCAAAATTCTTAGAACGTGCTAAAATTCACGCATGCGCAAACGTTTTTCTCTAGTGTCGGTTTCTTGGCTATAAAACTGACCTGCAGTTTTTCCATATTTGGTCACTTTATGGTGTTAGGCCCCGTCCACACTATGCCGGATAAATTTGAATCCGAATTTTTATTTATTCGGTTAGGCCTACCGTCCACACTAGTCCGGGCGAATCCGGAACAATTCTTCACTGAAAACGAATTTTTTCGAATACTGTCTTCAGAGTGGAACAATTTGAAAACGCGGCTAGCCGTATTTAGTGTGGACGGAGAACATTTCGTATCCGAAATTTTTCGAATAGGATGACTTCATGATTGTCATGGAAACATGGCGGAAGGCTAAAAATTCACCGCGGGCTCAATTTCAGCTTCGATGCACATGCTCAGATACTATAAACTATATACAGCTAATCAAAGTTAATTAACTAATTATGAGTTATGAGCAATTATGAGCAATCTATTCGAGAAAATACTGAAGGGAAATGGCACGTAGTGGTTCTCTAGTGACACTCTGTCAGTTTATATTTGATGTGATTGGCATTATCGAACTGCATTTTGGAAAATAATGAGCCTCAAAATGTTCTAATTTTCGCGGTTATTGCCTTCTAGAATGTGAGAGCTTTTATAAAAGATACCGGTACCTACGGTTCTGGAATGAATAAAGTTCTCTCCTGTTTTAGAGACACTAGCTGACACTGGCTAATTATTTCTAGGTTCATTCTTGCTTTCTAGCTATATCTAACATGTTCTTAGAAAATCGACTTTAGTTCATTTGTGTGCCTAAATCCATGTGCGATTTTCAGGCTAGAGTTATGCAATCCCACACCTTCAAAACACTTCAAATTCAATGTTATGAAGAAAGGCCGGTTACGGTTATCGGACATTTGATTGGATGAAGAGTAAATTCTCGTGCATTGTGATTGGTCTGGCGTATGCCTTGCCGCGTCATGCGGACCGTGTTCGTGCTGTGAGCTTTTCACAGTCATACGAAAACTGCTCAACACGGCGCGGACACGGTCACGCCAAGGTCACGGCAATGCCAGACCAATTACATTGCGCGTGAAAAAATCAGCCAATTAAATTTCTAGAAAGCATCACGGTCACGGCACCTCACGCTTTCGGCACTGAGCTTTTCACAGTCATACGAAAACTGCACTAAGTCAGTACTTTCCTTTTACCACGCATGCGGTAATCATTTAAGCTCAAAGTACAAAATACTTTGAGTAGAAATTAGATTGTCGTTTGTAAAAGTTCTTGGGATTCCAAGGGGCTTCTGTCATAGTATCTTAAAAAGGTATAAAATCAAGAGATTAAGTGTTAGGGAACTGAGTTCATACTTACTTTTGAAGTAGTATACATGAAAGAAACGGATCCAATAGGAAACTTTTCAAGCTGATCAGAAGCTATTTGCGACCATTGATGCCGCCACTGATAGTGAACTCGAAGAATATTTATATTTAAGATGTAAATCTGCCTTTCGTATGTCTGTGAATTTAAATGGCTTTAAAACATAATAATCTTACACATATTGATCTGCTGGTGTACTTTGGAAAGCTTTCCCATTCACCCATTTGTTTAATCATTCATTTAATATCGTTTTCTCATATTTTTCAGTTAAGGTCGAGCAGAATTAAAACGGATTTAACAGCGACAGCTCTTCTTCAAGAGATTATCGAACCGTGTGATTAGATTGGACGCGTAAAGATGTAAATGATATCATATATAACAGAATTTACAATAAGTTGCAAACAATTTTGTTTAAAAATAAAATGCGTGAAGACACCCCACTTGGAAAAAGTGATTGTTTGTTACGATTATTTTCCTTTGATTCATAATGGCACTCTTTACCTTCATATGCAAATTGCCCATTTCAGATCACATGACATTCCCTTTAGAATTATTCTTTTATGACGAACATGTTAAAATATTTACACATGAAAGAATCAATTCCCAAGAGTGACATCACATATAATATGAAATGTGTACGACAAACAACAAAGGTAAAAAGAACTATTTATATAAGTTTATTAGTTTCAAACAATTCAAAACTTCTGCTGGTAGAAAATAATTGAGAAATGTGGCAAAAAATACCAAGCGGTAATCAATCACCAGCCCAGGATTTTGAGCGAGTTATAAATTGAAGAAGTTTGACGTTATTGGCTTACGCGAGTTCCTTGTTATTGTTATCAAGCGCTAATCAATCACCAACCCCAGGATTTTGAGCGAGTTATAAATTGAAGAAGTTTGACGTTTTTGGCTTACGCGCGTTCCTTGTTATCGGAAGTGAATATTTCCCGCTGCTTTTGAGTAGGCGCGTCTGGAGAAGCAACCACTACTTTCTATTAAATRTGAGTACTATTTTCCTATTACAGGAAGTGAACATTTCCCGCTTTCCTGGAGTAGGCGAGTCTAGGGAAGACTATTTTCTCGCCTTACTGCCCGCCTAACTAAGAGCTGTTAATTCGGGGCCAACTGCTAACAAAAACCACTAAAATAAAATGAAGAATGTTCTGAATTATTTAACATCCACCTGAAAGAATTAGTACTTTGGACAGTACAAATCCTGTTACGAAGGAAGAGTAAAAAAAATCTTTATAGGACCGCATTTTGTTTTGGACCCGGAAGTAGTTTTTCCATACGACTGATGTCACAATTAAAAACACGATCAGAATTGAAGTAACCATTTTCCCGCGCTTTTTWAAAAAAATTGATAGCGCGCGCGATCACTTTCTTTTTATGATGTCATAATCATTACTTATTCACTTGAAATGCATCGTGTTTATAAATGAAACAACGAAATGCTGTAGTAGTTTTGTTAGTCGTATTTTCTAGTTTCATTCATCTCTCTTCACAGATTTGTGCATTGTTAGAACACAGTAACACCCTGAAATGTGTTAACCTGCGACAGATACCAAAATTTACCGGAAATGATCTTAAAGCTGGAACATTGTAAGTAAAAAAATACAAATATATATTTTCAAAAATTAAAAAACCGATTTTAGTTTTCGAACAAAAAGATTTTATGAGTGATGAAAATACTAAAATTTTAATTTATCGTGTTTTTTTTGTGCCAAGAGAAACGTACCATATTTTATACTATTTTTATGCTATTCTTACGCTTATACTTTATACTGATTATACTGATCTATTCAACGGGTTTAGTGGCTTCACTCTTATCCTATAACATTTTATTTCATTTCTTTTTATTCTCGTAGGAAGTTGGGCAGGAATTCAATCACTTTGGTTCAATCCAATGCATTTTTAGACTTCACCATTCTCAGATATATGTGAGTACTAATGACAGTTGACTTTTCCCGCCTTTTTCAATTGCTTAACACGTGTATTATTGCTTACCGAAACTCTCCCTACGTTTTTTTGGTTGGTGAACACACGTTACCGGAAGTCCAAATTTCCCGCGCTGTTGGTTTGATAAACGCGTATGTTGTTTACCGAAAGTAAAACTTTCCCGCTCTTTTAATCGGTAAACGCGTGTATTATTAACCGGAAGTCAAAATTTCCCGCTCTTTTGGTTGGTAAACACGTGTATTATTAACCGGAACTTAACATTTCCCGATTTCAGATTTTTTTGGTTGTTGGATCGACGCGTGCACTATTTACGATGCCTCTTCAAATATATATAAATTTTATTTCATTCATGTTGGTCCATCATCAATCAGAAAAAACTGATTCGTAATCCTCGATTCCTGATGAGCGAGAAGGGTCCAAAAGCTAGAAAGAGCAACATTTCTACTATTGTAAATCTCTACCGTACATAGAAGATATCATTTTATCTATAGCTATTAGTTATTTGTGGCTGTTTTTGAGTATATTTTTTGCCAATGATTTAACGCACTTTAAATATTTCACCTGCTTCCCATTCACTTCCTAACCTCGTCTAATGACATCCTGTCTTAGGCGTTCTAAAGAGGTCACTTTAAGGACCACTAAAGTGCCACTTTCCGCTCTATTTTATTATTGCCTCAGGGAACGGATTGATTGTCTAATATCTAGGTTTAAGGTAAACGTGCTGCTAATGGTTTGCTATACAACGGGAATGGCTTCTGCTTCGGTGATCCTAGATGGATAACAAGATGATTAATCCCTCGTATATAGTGTTAAATGTTTTGTTTTTGATTCATTCAATAATATTTACAATGCTATGCCAATTTGGATTTAAAATATTTCTCCTCTTGCTCTTGCTATTGTGTCATTAAAAAAATTATCCATCCTGCATAGTTTCCCTCTCTCTCCGTCTATTTATCTTAAAAATTCATATGTTCATTGTTTTTACGATTTCAGAAATCTCTCCAGGAATGCAATCGACAGGGTCGAACCAAGAGCATTCAGCCACAGAGAGTACGAATGGATGTAAGTTGTTTTATATTGTTTCGAGAAATCAACTGATTATACATGGATGACTAAATTTTCTAGATGTATGGATTGACAATAAAGAATTAATTAGCGTTGTTTACCTTTTATGCAGTGATTTGTCGTTTAACAAGCTCAGGACTCTAGGAAGAGATGCTTTTCCAGACGATGAGACGCTAAAGCGGAAATCCTTGCAAATGTAAGATAATAAAAACGAAAGCTATGTCCATAATTATAAGTTTAGAGGAAATGTAGATACAGGAATATTGCACTTTGTTTCACGAAACGAGAGGAAAGAATGAGCGGAGCTGATTAGGAATGGGTGAATACATGAAACGATTGAGAAATGAAAATATGATTAAAACATATGAAAAAAAGTGAAGGGCGATCAACCAACCCACCCAACTGCCCACCCGCCTACCCACCCACCCA